AAAGATTGCCGCACCCGCGCGATATAAAGTGGGTGATTCGGTACGCGTGAGCAAATTCAAGACAGTCTTTGATAAAGGATACACGCCGAATTGGACAGTGGAGGTGTTCAAAATTATCAAAGTGCAGCAAACTAATCCAGTGACGTATCTATTGCAAGATTCTCGCGGAGAGCCTATCGCGGGAGGATTCTACGAATAAATTGCACAGCGTCGCTAATCCCGACGTGCATCTCGTCGAAAAGATGTTGCGTAAGAGGGAGAACGAGATTTACGTGAAATGGTTGAGATTTGACAATTCACACAATTCATGGATTCATAAAGACAATGTGTTGTAAATTATATATTTATTCAAAAAAATATAGATATATATATAAATTTTTTATAAAAATATATATTTATAAAAATATATTGAAAAATATTGTGTACTCTTCATTATAAATATGTATTACACATATTATATCTAAATATTACACATATTACACATATTATATGTATAATACATAGCACACATAGTATACTTATTATAAATCTTATTCATATTATACATATTACACGATATATATATACGTATTATATCGTACATATTATATTATACATTTATAAGTATTAACCATATTATATAATACAATTGTATTTTATTTACATCAGTAATGCCCCCATGGCAGCGTGTCGGTGGAACCTGATACGATATACCGCTTATCATCGTGCGGATTTAGAGCGATTTTTGTTTCCGATATCGGGTACACTTCGTGCAGTTTGGATCTTATGCACGACTGTCTGCGCGTCATTTCGATTGCATCGTTCAAACAGCATGTGTAATTCTCAAACGTTATGGATTTTGCCACAACGCTGCTCTTGACATCCTTTGCCTTTTTCGCGTCTTTCTTTCCTTGTACACGTAAAGCGTACATTTTCGCTCTAAGCCGTACGAATTCGGTCATAATGGCGCCGTTTTTCTCGTCTTTCATAAGGCCTGGAACTTTTTTATTCGTGAGCGGAATACTGTGCGCGTTGTCAACTGCGTAATCACTCGTGTCGAATCTATTTATATCCCGCTTCATCATATCGTAGATATCGTCACATTCTACGTGATATATGAGGTTATCTGTGTCGGTATACATAATTTTACATTTTTCACGAAACACCGGTGCCATGTACTCGTGGTGAAATTCGTACAAACATGTTTTCGATATATCGAGGATGCACATACCCACGTATATCGGCTTGTCGAACTTCACCTCGAGCTTACGCAGTTCTATCGCGACCAGGTTTTCTGAGAAGACGCTACGACTGTGAAAATTTGGTTTGGCGATCATTGCCTCCGCACCGTATCTGCCTTCCTATTTTGTCAGTTATTTTACGTCGACGAGATCGCGCACATTCTCCATGGTTTTACCAAATACCGCGTTATTCATCAGTTTGTATAAATTTTTTTCAAAATCATTTTTGGCCATTGTTCTAAATTTTGTGTTTAATTCTATGTAATCGCGTAGCGATGGAAATTGCGCGAATTGCAGTATACGGTGAATCTTAGCGATACGGAGGCCGTGATGAGTACATTGCTGCAGGTTGCGATAATGTATGACGTAACGCTGTTTATCACATAATGTTGCCAGGAGCTTGTCATCGCGCTTGCCGGGTGGTTTCTCTCGTGTCGGACAGAACGGTAGGTCAATGTGCGCGTCATGAAGATGTTGCGGGTACTCCAAATCCACCTCGAAAATATAGCCTGTCTGCGAATCTAACGATGGTCGTAAAGTCGAAATTGTGCACGTCGTCAACCCATCGAAAATCGGCGTAGGGCAATGGTTGACACATTGCCCAGCCATACAGGTTGTTGACGTCATAGTACATCAAGTACGATGACGGTTTCGATGGATCGTACGACGGCATGTATTTGTTGTTGGCTCGCGCGTACCTGTTTGTACACTGGCTCAGACCACCGCGTATACCGCGCTCGACAAACATGACCATGTCGATGTCTGTCAATAGTTCAAATTTTACATCAGTATGGTAAGTTTTAACATGGCATCCCATATGAAGCCAGGTAAGGTGTAATAATACGCGGGGTCTAGCCCGTAACTCGCGATGCAACTGTCGCGTAAATTTTCGAAGACGTCGGCCAACAACAATACGTCTGTTTTTAGATACAGGTCGCTATATTCACCGAGCGTTAGGATGGAGAACCGCTGCCACACGTTGACGGCGTGCGCGTAATGACTCTCAGATACCGTGCTGTCAGTCAATGAGCTGTAAAATAACTCGCGAGATGGCAAGCGTAATTCGTTCAATTTTTCGCTGCAGTCAATGTACTCGTACCGAAAAACGTACTTTCGAGTCAAAAGATTAAAATTTTCTTCGGATAAATGGGAAAATTCGCGTCGCAGTACCAGCAGCTTATCATTGTTGAGAAAAGATGACAATTTGTACAAACTTGAAGCGAGAAATCTATATGAATCTATGAAACGTAATTGCATACAATTTTTTTGATCAATTTTTGTACTATCGACATGTTTAGTAAAAGATATATATTTTTCTTTAGTTATTGGAAGCAGATCTACGCGTCCTTCATACACGGTTACAATTTCCTTGATAATAAAATGAGTGTCGTAACCGGATAAGTTATGAAAGACTACAGGTATGCAACGCGAATCTCTGTAATTTAGATTGCAATTTGAGTGCGCGGGGCCTCTGTATCGCCCGACGAGATGGCAGTGATCGCGTACCCGCGTATCGTCTGATGTAAACGGTTTCTCGCACACGTGACAGTGCGAGACGCTGTTAAATTTTTCCCAGTCGTTGCGCGTGAAATCTGCCATGGG